GAAAGGCCAGCTCCCATGATTAACGCCCAGCCGCTCACCTGTCCCTCAGGCCATGTCCCGGGGCTGAAGCTGCAGTCCAGCTGCCAGCTTGACTCCTTCGGCTGGGTTCCCTTCAGACACTCCTGCAGCGCTGCTCCTCCCACCTCGGGGTCACCATTGAAGGGATGCAAGACACAGACTCCTGATGGCTCCTGAACAGAAGGCCTTTATTGCCCTTTTTCACTACTACACATACTTTCCCCATAGCTCCACACGCTGTCCACGCGCCCGAATCGGTCATACAACTGGTTAGAGACCCTCAGACACGCGCCTGGAGCCAGCCAGCAATTGGCCACTGCCCAAAGCTCATCTTCAACACTGTCGCCAAGTTACTTTATCTCAACCTTACTCAAGTTTTTGTTTCTACCGCTTGTTTCCTCATGATCTCTAATTCAAGGACATGTGAAACAGCATGGAGCCACCTGCGAATTCCTTTCCCACGCATATGTATGATTACAAACCAAGCTTTCCCCAAACCTCCTCTTTTTAAGGTACGAAAAGCAGAAAAAAAAAAATCACCCTAATTTTTTGTTGAATCTAAACCTACTCATCCTTTTAAGACTTTATATGTTCCTCAGCATTTTATAAGTTTCTTCAAAGAAAGGACCTCAATAAACATCACACACAAATACAAGCTTTTATCTTTCTTTATCCCTTTGCTGCATCACAGAATTAGTTTCCTGCGTATCCATTCACTGTCCTTTTTGCATTGAGCAAGTGCTGCATGTATGCAATACCCTAACCAACAAACATACTAAAGCATTAGAGAAAATACCAACATGTTACTAAGATAATGACATTTTTTCCCCAGTATTTTTGTGAAATCATGGCTTTGCAAGCCAGCTTTTAAACTGTTAACAGCAGCACCACCACAATTCTGGGAAATGCTCTCTTCATGTTACCTCCTTGTTGCACAACCAGCCTCGTATCCTAGGAAATGGCCATGCAGACGCTCTGCAGACACTCGGGGGCATGCCTCCTTTCTTTAATCAGCTCAGACTAACTCTCAAAAATAATTAAAAAGTAGAAACAGCCAGAATCTTGGGGAAGGAAAAATAGAGATGTTTTGATTTTATGGTTTTACTTTTTTTTTTTTTTTTTTTTTTTAAATACACGCTGCTTGGACTCACAATACTACACTTACACCATCCTGACTTTAATTGCATTACCAGTGTGAATTAATGGACCTGTGCAACTGATGTATGCACATGGACTGGAATTTATTTTTAGTTTAATGGAGATAGAGCACAACGGTATAAAGTCTTAAGTTACATTAGATACCTAAGGAAATGAAGGCTAATTTCCTAATTGGGGAAAGCAAGATCAGGATTTTCCACATTCCCTGTCACCTACAATCTTACGACAGATGATTTGGCCTTGAAACCACATTTTAAATCCAAGCTGCCAACAGAAATGCATAGCCTTTGATCTGATTCTCTCTTAATTCCTAAAAGGAAAATGGATTTTCTTCCAGTAAAGTTGTTACTGAACTCCTCGGAATGACCGGCAGCCAATGTGTCTTACAAGTTTTAATAGAGAACCAGTTACGGGTTCATTAAAAGACAGCTAACTTACACTGGTCTTGTAGATTTTTGACATGCTGGAATGCTTTTACAAAATATGTAGTGAGGTGATGCATTACCTGGAGCATTGTGTCCAGTTCTGGGCTCCCAGTACCAGAGGGACACAAAGCTACAGCAGCGAGTCCAGAGGAGGGCTACGAAGATGATGAGAGGCCTGGCACAGACGTATGATGTTGCAACCAGCACAAAACGAAGCACAGGAGGTTCTGGCTGAATATCTGAGGGCACTTCTTCGCTGTGAGGGTGACAGAGCACTGGCACAGGTTGCCCAGGTGTGCAGGCTCCTTCTCTGGAGATATTCAACACCTGCCTGGATGCCATCCTGTGCAATGTGCTCTAGGTGATCCTGCTCAGCAGGGGGGTTGGACCAGATGATCTCCAGAGGTCCCTTCCAGCCTCGGCCGTTCTGTGATTGACATTACTTTCCTCCGCATAGCTGAGAGGCTCCACCCTAGCACCCTCCTCAAGCCAACTACCAAATGCTAACAGATTACTGGAAGAGATCCAGTTACTGAAACACGGGTACCTGGTGCCACCCGAGATGCCCTGCTGTATCCTGCCTGGTTGCCAGCTACTGCTCCAGAGTGCAGGAACCGATGGCTGCCAGTTCCATACACGTGCCTTGGCTATCCAACACATCTGAAGGAGGCACCTATGTTCATGTTGCTAAATGTGACCTACAAAGGGTTCAAATAAAAGAGCTCCTTTCAAACAGATCCTTAGTAAAGGGACAGGGCACATGAGTACTGTTACTATTTTTCATTCAAATCAAGAACATTAAATAATTAACTTCCTTAGTTTTATATGGTATCTTTTCTTCTACTTTCATACATCCAAATCATGGCATCTCAATTTCATCTCTGTAGCCAGCGAATGCCAGGTGGCTGTACACAGAGGTGGCTGTACACAGACACATCAGCACATTACATATTTACACTTACAACATTTGTATTTGGCTCTGACTACTGTCATGTGCTTCATGTTTACATCTAAATCAAAACTTTTTTTTTTTTTTTTACTACTCATACCAGCAGAGCCAAAGCTTTTCAGTTAGAAGAAAATTCTGGAGACAAAAAAAAAAAAAAAAAAAAAAGGTAAGTGCATTATTTTACATGCCCCATTCACCACAGTCTGACAAAACATATAGCACACTTTGTCATATATAAATCCCAGTTCACAACTCAGACCACCCACACATGCTCCTAACATCCCTTTTCTTGGAAAGGATCAGGAACAGACTTCATTCCAGACAGACGATTCAACAACCATCCACTCTTAGGCAACTCTTTTTCTGCATGACACAGCATACACGCACATACAATGAGCCTAATCCACCATCAGGAGGAAGTTCCAAATAAAAGAAACTGCTGTAGGAGAGGGCTGCAGCTGCTCAAACACCTAGCCAAGTCTGTTGGAAAAGCCACCATGAAAGCAGGCTGATGTAAAAACAGACCAGAATCAAGGTTTACCATCCTGGTACCCAATTGTTTCTACTTGCTCACTAGTTCCCATCAGTTCCTGTGCACACGATCAGACAAACAAGGCATTGCTTAACGTTTCAGAGGGAACAAAACAAAATTTCATAAAGCACTTTTATTACTGATAATGTATACCTAATGTATAAATTTGATATTAACTACAGCAGTATCAAACCATATTTTAGACCCAAGCTAAGTAATGACCTATAGATATTGAGATGGAATGATGTAGTTACGGCTACTGATCCAGCACTAGGACAGTACTAGTACTTTGCATTTATTACCTACCTAAGTGAAGGAATACATCAAGTGCTTTGGAAAGATTATAGCACTTCTTTTGAATTTCAGATCAAGACATTAAGGCCTAATCTCCAAAATACATGGATGCCTAAAAATGCCTGTGGGTGCTTAACCAATATATCAGAAGCATTTTGGCTTGGCATTTCTTTAGTATTAGACCCACACGTTGAGGGCATCCAGAAAGAAATCTTTGGAGTAGATTTCAATTTTGTGGCAGGGTTGTTCTGGCACTGTGTTGTCTTACTTTCGCTTCTGTGCCTTCATGCAACCAAACTAGGTAAGATTTTAGTTTATCCAAGTCTTTAGAATTCCGAGTTACATAAACGAGCTTCCAAAGCATTGAAGATGCAATCTTTGAAACATCCATGTTCACTGTATACTGGTCAAGTACTAGGAGAATCAGGAAGAACTGTATCTGACACTTTTAAAAAAGGAGAAGCACTATACAAAAATCAATGCATTTAGTCCCAACACTGTGTGAGGTAGAAGTACTTTACAAATGGAGAAACTGAGTACAAGAATGTAGATGGAATAAGGCAACACAAAATACAGTGTGAAATCATTAACAAAACCAGTATGCTTCACTGAAGTCCATTTTGATGAGTGAAACAATATTTACCCTTAAAATGCTCTTGACCATCCTAAACACAGTGGCTCAAACCAGATTTTGAAAATGAAGACAGTACTTTGTATAAAAATATGGGAAGCAGCATGACTTGCTAAATAGTCTACTATATGAAATACCTACAACTAATTACACTAGGACAAATGAAAAGAAGTTAAACCTAAAAGAGTGAGTGTTAGCACCCTACAGTAAGTCTGTTACATTGTTTTCTTCTAAGGAGTATGTGATCCAGGAAAGTAAAAGTGGTTTTTATACCTTTCTCATCTCATTGTGATTTTGTCCTTCAAAATCATTCCCTTAACAGCCTTTTCCAGCTATTTTATAGTTCAAGATCACAGCTAGTAATTGCTCAATAGCTTAATTTACAATATGCCAGGTTGCTCACAAGTTCCACAAGGATAAACAGCTATGCTTCAAGTTAATCCTGTTCTTTTTGTAAACCCATTCTAACGTAAGTTCAAAAAAAAAAAAGTACTGTCAATTCAGATCCAGTTTGTGGTTTTTCTTTGGGGGTTTATCCAAAGCTCCTTGTAATATTGAAAGTGACAAATATAAGTCATCTTAATTATAACTGCCATCTTAATTATAACATGTACTACAATCACAATCCTAAAGTCAGAACCATACAAATTTTAGAAGAAAGCTTTTGCTGTAAACAGCTGACTAAATAAACCAAGATGTTGTGCAGAAAGGGTACTAGTCTTCCGCGAAAGGATGTTTTTTGCTTGTTTAATTCTTGTACTGGTTGAGCAATCACTGCTCTCTTTTGTTATTCAAAATGTTTTAGGAATTAATGAAAATAAGTGATATTATTTTATTTCCATACCAGATTTATGGTTTGTGTGTTACACTGGGGCTGGCTTGACTGATATTAAACAGATATGTCTGAAAGAGAAAACATAAATTAGACATGCCATGAGACATGTGCAATTAATTTCTACTAAAACGTGGATAATGAAACCCACTTCTACAACATTTCTTTTACACTTTTAATGGTGATAATGACTAGTATTTTAGTAAGAGGGTAAAATTCAGTAAGATGTACAAGGAGAGCCATACAACTCAAAGATAATGTTTGCACAGCTTCCAATTCCACTGTGAAAATATACCCCCCTCCAAAGTAGATAGGAATAGGCACTTCATCTTTAAAAATGAAGCACTCTTTTTCATTCTTCAGTCATCATCGACAGTTGGCTTGATTGTCACTCCTCTTCTGATTTGACCCCAACCAATTAAACTGTAAAAAGAAAAACAGTTTATATTACTTTTAATAGCAGTTAGAAATATCCATAATAAGTCAACGTACTTCTATTATGCTTAAGCCTTCAATTCACATTTTGGATTTTTTCCCCACTTGCTTTCCTCACAAAACATCCTGCAAGATCTAAGGATGAGCGACATAGAACATCTGCACGATTGTTATCTATTAAAAATGAACCTCACAACAGTGAACAAAAAATCTGAAGGTTTTGTAACATAAGTTGCAATAGGTAACTGTAAATATAGCTAAATCTCTTTCTACCTATATGAAAGTGCTGCATTACTTTCAGAGAGAAATAAAAATGTGAGGATTCAGACAAGATGGCAGTAAAATTATAAACAATTCTAACTCTTAATGAAACTACAACCTATAAAGGTAAATCAATTCTCAGTTAAGTTTGGTAATCTTATATTAAGGCCCCTTTTATAGGCTACTGTCATCTCAGAAAAACATACTTAAAAGAATTTAATATCATGTTCATTTACACAGTCATCAGGCAGACCGTATTAACTCAACTATCTTTAATACATTTTGCTTTTTCAGCAAGGAGATGCGCAGGAACTATGTGCATTTCAATTTCATTCACTAACAGTAGAGGCTCTCATGATGATTTGGTAATCATCAGCAGAGTACCGAAAAAAAGTAACCAAAATCAATTAACATTGGATTTCCGACTTTTTGGGACCATACTTATAGCTTATAATTAGTCCACATTTGTAATCTGTGTTCCCTGGAACATACAAGTACATCTTGTTTGCTTTGCCATTTGCTGCTTAATTTCTATGCCTTTATGTATTTATTTTCTATTTTTTCTCTTCTTTTCTTGCTTTCTTACCACCTTCTCAGTACTCCATTCCCTCAGGCAACAAGTTCCTTCCCACAATACCAACTGTATAGAGACAAGTGTCCTTTTGGCAAACTTTGCTCATGTTTTATGAGTGGGAAGTACGAAAGACAGATGCCTTTGAACAAAACTTGCATTAAAATTTGCATAAGTTGACAGTCACTGGCTTAAAAAAAAAAAGCACTGTTCAGTTTCCAATACATTCTCCTCTTCCTTTCTGCTTTTGCTATCTTAATTTAGGTTCTTGATTTCTTTTCCCTTCTTCTTTCTCCTGTTCAAGAACTTATCTTTTTATTTTCTTCTGCTCACTCTGCGCAGGGTTTCCTGATTCATCAGCTATCTCCAAGACAAGAAGCACCAAATTCCTGTCTGTGCTTTCCTGTTGAACTGAAACACCCATCCATGGATACTAAAGCCTCAGTTCTTTTTCATACAGTAAGAACTTCTCGGGTGAATGCTCCTGTTTCCTTATACTTTCCCCTCATACTGCAAGAGTTGTGCAGGGTCAAGGAATATAAATACCCTTATGTTCTTATGGAATAAATACATAAGAGTTACAGTACGCATAATCATCTAAAGAGCAGTACAGCACTAAGCTTAAAATTAATCATCAATCGAATCCGCTTATCATTTTTAGCCTCCATGCATTTTTTGTGTTTATATCATAACAGCCAGATATTCTACCAACTTGTTGCCAACTTACCGCCAGTGCTTCTCAACTCTTCGACTCAGGGCAATTTTTTCTCCCACTTCTGTGCACACTGGGTTGGTTAGCACAATCTTGCCCAAATCAGCCTTTACTGCACTGACTCTCCCTCCAGTAGATAAGGATCCTATGTTTACCATTAAAACTTCATTCTTTGATAGTTTTTGCACCTGAAATAAGACATACAGAAGTCTGAAACATAAGCTTTAGTATTTAAAATAACCTGCTCACACTAAGCCAACATCATTTAGCAACACAATTCCTCAAACGAAGAGAAATACCACAGATAGTACTGAACATTATTACCTAATGGCCACAAAAACAGTACAGCTGAGAAATGCAAAAACCATAGATATCCCACATAAAAACCATGCAAAAGCATCAGTGGATAAAAAGTTTATATTTTTAACTCTTGTGAAGGCCAATACACGTAGTACTACAGGTTCTTGTTATACCTAAATCCCAAGAAGGTATATCCTATTTTCTGTACATACCTAGAACTGCACATACTCTATCAAAAGCAAAATCATCATCTTACATATTGTTACAAAGCGTTTTACCATTCTTTTAAATTATCTGGATATTTTCATTTGCCTTATAACTACATACATCAAAATGATTTCTCAAAAAAATAATTTCACAGAGGATCTGAGCACTGAAGTATTTCATTTATTGTTGCATGAAGCAGGCTGTGGATGTTAACACTAAGAAGGAACAGTATGATCTTCTGGTTTTGTTAGTATAAAATGGACCATGGAACACAAAGCCATACTGTGTATCAAGTTCAGTTTCTATTCAGCTACAGTCTTTCAGAAATATTCAACTTTAAGAAGTTCTTCAAAGAGAGAATCTACAAAACGCAGGCAAGCAGGAATTAAATCAGTGTGTGCATATTGCACCAATGAATATGCTGATAGCAAAGGAAAACTACCAATGTGTTTAAAAGAATATTTAACTTGAAGATATATTTGTATTTCATAGTATTTTAAGCTACTCTGATATGAATTTCTATTCCTCTGAAGAGCTTTATTCTGTAAAATTTGACGTAACAGTTTTGCAACAACCACATACAAACAAGGAAACAAAATACTACATCAAAAATGTAGGTATTAATGAAACTTAGCACAAGTTATTAAAACAGAAATCAGAAAAAAAGTACATGAAATACTTTTTTATTTTTAAAAAGGGTACAGACCTTTGCAGCTTTCTTGTCCCCTTCAGTACGCACACCTAATAGTCGTCTCAGCAGGAAATAGGAAATTTCTAACTCTGTAAATATTTCAGGCAGTGCTCCAACTGCACCAAGAACTTGCCCTACCATTCGGTCAGCCCGACACAAAGTTGGATCGATCTTAGTTCCAACTCCTACAACATAACAAGGAAAGTCCCAAGGAGTAATCAAAAGGGAGATGTCACATTTACGTAATTAAAATATTTGAATGAGTCCTCAAAACAATGCATGTAAACTGAGAATGTACTGTGAATTCCCTGTGAACTTGGACAGCCCTTTCAGAATGCCAGCAAGACTGATCTGTCTATAAACATATGAAGATATATTCTACCATTATAGCTGATAAAATTAACAGTTTAAGTTGATTGAAGTTGGCTAGTGACAGGAAAATTATTTCATAAATACTTAGTTTTCATACACATTGTCTCTTTCTACATCTAAGTATTTGAAATTGCTCATATCCCTTTTGGTTTCACTTAGCAATGGATTTCAGTGTAGTAACCAAGTGTTTTCAATAAGCATTAGACAGAAAGATCTTTCTGTAAGAGAATATCCTTACCTATAAGACCTCCTGGAGCAGCGTACTGTAGATCATTGTGTTCTGCAAAGAGTGACACTATTTTGGAAAAGATTGGCTTACACATGAGTTTTCCTTCACTGTCCTTGGACACAATACCAGGCCGGACCTCAATTTCCTGACCAACCTAATTACAAAGGTGAAAAAGTGGTTAACAGGTGGTTTCACAGGAACATGAAGAAACTACTAGTCATAGGTAAGACATACTTCTTCCAAGGCCCACTGTTAATACAAATCCTATGTTTTGGGCTACTGTAGAACTTCTAAGACTTTGGCACTGCTTAATGCAAGCCAGACAATACCTAAAGCTCTGTATCTTACAGCCAATCAAGCAATTGCTTTTCCTTCCAATTAATTTTAAATAACTGCTTTTGCAAAGGATCTTTATCAGCTTTAATTGTGACATATAAATTCAGTTTATTTTTTTTAATAACATTTCATTTAGAAGTGTTACAGCACCAATAAAAATTGTGTTAATTTAATCTGTGTAACTGATCATTGATAAACCAGAAAAAAGAAAATACAAGTTAAATAAATGCTCAAAGACAATTTGCTTTCCGGTCTAATGCAGTAACTTTTGAAGTTCCCACCTACTGACAGTATTCCACAAGAAAAAAATATTTACAGAATACTTGAGTCAGGAAGCGAGACCTGTGGGAATCCCACATACACTTCAGAGGTACCTTTAAAGTTTTTCCCTTCCTCCACAAAATAATTGACAAAGTAAGAGTGGTAGGACAGGGAAAAAGTAATTAGCTCCCTCAACTTTTGTTAAGCAATGAAAACAGTATCATTAATAATAAAAGAATACAGAAATATTTTTAAAGTATTTTTTTTTAAATCAGTGTTTCTTGTTACATTATTTTAAAACAAGAAAGTAGCAATGATGCACATACAGACAAGATAGGTGCCACCTTATGGTATTCTTCTTCTTAAAAAAAAATGAACTACATAGATTAATTTTGTACTGAAAACGTACAAAAACTACTCATTATCACTAAAAATCTCCAAAAAGAGAGAAAAGGTTACCTTTAAAACACCCTTTAGAATACTGCCACCAGCTACTCCCCCCTTAAGGTCATCCACTTCACAGCCAGGCTTGTTGACATCAAAAGATCTAATTACTGAAAAGGACAAGAAACAAGTTTATATTTAAGAGCCAGTTTTCAAAGGAATTTGTGTTTTTTTCAACAACAATTTCAATAATGCCCTTATCCTTATGAAGGTATCCAACTACTTACGAAAACATAACTCAGAGAGAATAAAACATGAATATATAGCTGTTTTGTTCTCAATATCATTTAAGCAGCATATATATATATAAACAGTATTTTAAAAATCTATTTCTGCATAATACACATTAAGTTAAATATCAATACCTGAAAAAGAAAGCAATGATCAGCTATTTAGAAAACTTCAATATTCACAACGTCAACTTCTTTGTAACCTTGTTTTAATGTACTCCATTCATATGCACTATGAACATGTTCTGTGGGTTTTGGGGCAAGAGGCAAAAATGTGGTTTTATTGTAGTGGCACTGAATTTCAAAATATGCTGTACAAGAACAGAGGCTTTTTAATACAGAAAATTAATTCAGGCTACCCTAACTATAGGATTTTCATGTAAATTATTTTTCAAATGAAACAGCCTGTCAATACTTTGTTAAATCAAGTTTAAATTCACAGTAATTAATGTTTAAGATACTGACAAATTTCTCATCTTTATTGCATTTTACTACTGTTGGACACACAGAATATATACAAAAGAACAATTACCTTGGATAGATTTAACTGGATTAATTTCGCTATCAACAAATTATACAGGTCTCGGAAGAGAGTTTTAAAGAGCAAACTGAATGCTCCTTTTAAGCCCACATCTTTTTAGAGCATTCTGCAACATGGTGTTCTGAGTGTAGGTAAAGGTAGGAAACATTTAAATCACAAAAGCCCGAAGATAAGCATTTACATACCAATAAGCCTTGGTTCGGATGTGAAGTCTCGCAAAGGGACTGGGATTTTCTTCACTATATACTCACAGACTACCTCGATGTTGTATTTCAGCTGTGCTGAGATTGGAATTATTGGAGCTCCTTCTGCAACTGTACCTAAAACCAGTTCCACATCAAGCCTTAATATAATATTTATAGAAGCATGACCAAGTGTTCTGTCATTGTTATAAGCACTAATGAAGTTTGAAGCACACTTTACACGTATTTCTCAAAGCAGTATCACAACATACACTCTTCCTTTCAACATCTTAGCTCAAGCCAGACAGACCTACTTTTTCAAGGCAGTCTGAAACCACCTTCGCGTTGCCACTGGATAACTCCACACAGAGGAGTTTTACAGTTGCTCGATGAAAATTAAGAAAGGTAATCTGCTTCTGGGTGAGCAGAAAAAGTCTTAAGAGAATTTCCTCAGAGAGATCAGATACCTAAACATTTGATACATTGGCATTCATTTTAAAGTCAGTTTTTGTGAACCAAAACATGAAGCACAACTCCAATTGCTTATTTTTTTTTTTAGATTAACAGACCATGTGTATCAGTGAAGTCTAATTCAGTTTTTTATAAACATATAGAAAAACCCTATCTCTATGTCTCAACACCGAATAACTTCCACCACTGACTGGATTTCTGCTGGTGAAAACTTACCTTGTACAAATGCAAGAATCTGTTCATACTGTTCTTTAGCCTGGCTCTCTTTCACCAAATCAATCTTATTCTGCAGAATCAAAATATGTTTCAGTTTCATGATTTCTATAGCAGCTAGATGTTCTGAGGTCTGGGGTTGAGGGCATGACTCATTGCCAGCTGAAAGAAGAAAAGGGACTGTGATATAGGAACTAGAGAGATCGACAGATCTCCTGCACTTAGGACATTTTTCTGTTGTGCCTTTTTTTTAAAAAAAAGTCAGCCTTTTTAAAAAAAAAAAAAAAAAAAAAAAGTAAGCTACATGAGAAAAAACACCCACTCTTTCCCAGAACTGCTGGATTCAGCATCCACAGAATATGACAGATGAGTGGTTGCAAGACCGGTCTGCCATTCTGCTTGCTCCCAGCAGAAACAGATTTAAAGCTTCCCAAGGTACTGACAGTTAACTCACGTCTACTTGAATCATGCCACCCTCTAGGTCTCTAGACATCTCAGTACTGACCATACTGGACCTTTCAAGAAAGGTCTTATAATTCCTTAGTGTTTTCTTACCACTAACAATAAAACCAGCAACATCCCCAAACTGTATGACAGACAGTAAAGATATTAAGTATGTGAATAGGGCAGTTATCAGTACAGCTGGCCATCCAAGAAGCCAACTTTGACCCCATGTGCCATTATGACAGTTAATCTCACTTTAGTTTGGTCTATCACACTTTCTAGACTTAAGCGGTCTCTCCCTATTTATCAGTTACCTTGGACTATTTAAACTTCAATATCTGAAGTTGGTGTTCTTGTTTGTTGACATGCCCTGTCCAGATAATGTAATTGCCATGTATCCCTGTAGAGCATTCTATTGTTTCACAACCATAAAAATGAGTTTTACTTATTTCTGATCACTTGCAAATCAGAAAAATTGTTTTAGTCAAGCTCAATCTCCTGTACCTGCATTTGCCCCATATTCACCTGGATTTGCTGCTCATACTGATGGCTGTGTACTCTTCTGTATGACTAAGACTACAAACTTAAAGCAAACTGAAGCTTCAGATAAAAGTAACTGTATCCAATGCACTTCCATAAAATATAAATGTTACAGTAGTATTCACTACAGAGATTCATCTTGGCCAACTGATGGCTACCAGGCTATTGACTATGTATAGCTGTATTTAAAAAAAGCTTGTTGGAATGTATTTTCACTGTAACATCACTTAAGCTTCTTAAACACATCTCAAAAGCATTCTCTTGTTTTAACCACTCACCCACCCCACTAGATTTCAAATATAAATTTATAAATATAAAGCTGCCTTATGGTATTAAAAAAAATAGAGCCCTGCTTTTGTGTAACAATTCTTACCTATCAACAGTAAAGCTGCATCCATTACTGCTGCACCGTTCAACATAGTAGCCATCAAAATATCATGGCCAGGACAATCCACAAAAGAGACGTGCCTATTGTAGAAGAAAGGGAGAAAAAAAAACAAGAAAAAAAGCCAATTATCAACAACTTCTCCGATTTATGTGAATGGTTAAGCAGATACACAAGTTAAAATAAATAAATAAAAACAAAAAGAACAAGTTTAAGTAAATAAAGAAGCAAACAAAATTTCAAGACAGTTGCTGAGAAGTAATACAGTAAAAGTATACACTTAAGAACACAAAGACTATGGAAAGACTACAGAAAGGCTGAGTTCTCAAATTCAATACCATATACTCACACTAGTTATTGCTTTAATATTTCAAAAAAAAAATACATGTAAATTAGACTAGATTTAAATGCACCAGAACAAAGAAACACAGGAACTAGCACATTGTACACCATCTCTCTGATCTCTTTTAAGATGCCTCTCACTCCAGTTTTAGAAAATGATGCATCTTTAATTACATGGTAACAATTGCACTTCAAAGATTTATCCAGAGACAGCACTACAGCTGCTAGCTCCAATCTTATGAATGCATTGTGCAGCTGATAACAGTCGACACACTACATTCTTGTGTGAAACTATTCAACGAAGAAACCTTGCAGCATGCCACCAAAAAGGAAGAGACTAATTTTCTGCTTCGCCAGCAACATTAAAAATCTACAATAAGCAAATAAACAGCAAGATAAAGAACCTAAAGCTTTAAAGCAAGAGCTTAAAAATGGCTGCACAACAATCACACCCTGACAGAAGCTATTGTTAGAACTAGTGCTCTACTGGGAATCTGAGGAAAAGGAGGAAATACATGACTACAGCAGGACGCCTATTTTATAGGTAAGCATGAACCAGGAATCCTGTCATACAACTGCCTTTGTGAGTACTCTCATTTGAACAATCATTGTGCAGACTCACACAACCACAGCTGTGATTACGATGCTTGCATAATGACCATGCTATGCTTGTGAAGGAAATGAAGGACGCCTGTCCTCCAGTACTAAGAATCAGGCTTTAAGAGATTCGTTTTTAGAACTAGGAAAACTTTTAAACTTTTTTTTTTTTATCCATTGAGGCAGAAAAAAAGCCACACATCAGAAATGAATTTTAAAGATGAGTTTGCAAAGTCCACATTAGTTCTTACTCTGGTGTCTTGAAAAATGTACTTATGGTAAGAGTAGAACAAAGCATCGTTTCACTTCAGTGTCCTGCAAACAGACAATGACAGAGAGCACAGTTTAAGAGATCCCTCAGATCGGGGTGCCCCATCTCAGCATCTATGAGCACGTGGTCTGTTATCATTCAGCTCACAACTCAATCCTGACAACTATTTTCATTTCTGTAAAGCAAATGCAAATAAAGGAAATACAATTTGCACCACTCATTTTACAGCAGGTACCTGACTAGTTTGAAATTCCCTTTGGTGCCAGGAATATCTGTAGGGAATTCATCTGGGGTGCTACTTCCACAGGATCGGTAGCACTCTGGTCGGGAACAGCTCGGGTCATCCAGCTTGTAAATCTGGAAACAATTTTTAAAAATTGAGAGGTTTAATTAACCGTTTATTATTTATAAGCTTCCATCCACCCTGAAATATATCAGCCATATATTTGCTCTATCTCTACCAATAACTCACCTTTGCATTAGCATAGCCCAGCTTGATTGTGATATTCCTTTCCAGTTCATTTTTAAATCTGACAGTATGAACTCCTGATATAGCTTTGACTACTGTCGACTTTCCATGGGCTACGTGGCCAATTGTACCTATGGTTTAAAAACAGATGTTTGTCAATAAGCCATTGTCTAATTTGTGCAGTGTTCTATTATGGTCATAATCACCCCAAACTCTCTGGGCATACTGGCTCCAGTGGTGCCATCACAATAAATATGGGTTTCTTAAACGCACAACACCCTAGAACTGTCTCTTGATGCACAGATCTTTGCGTTGTCGTGATTTGCATTTTCATGAAACTCATTTCAATGTGTAATTTTAAGGTATAATAAACTTTACTTTAGCAACCACTCCCCATGTCATTCAACACGGCGTTCTTGAAGTAAAATCACAGTGCTTTTCAAGTTAAAACGGTTTGACTAGTGTCTTCCTGCATCTTGACAAAACTTATAGTAAGAATACCTTACCTACATTACTGTGCTTCAGTACGGATTTCTTAATTTTTTCCAACACAGGTACCATATGCTAACACATGAGCACCACGATAAGTTACACTGCTATGCCCCCAGCCCCTCGTTTTTTCAGAATTTTGTTGTTACCTATATTAATTGTGGCTTGTCTGCTGATGACTTCTGGTGACAGAGGCGTCAGCTTGGTAACATCCTGTATGAAGGAGATTTTACAATTTATTCATCCTGGATCTAAACGTTTAGAGTACTATATGTATTTTCTTAAAATTTATCCAGTAGTTCTATTAAGCAAAAATCCAACTGAGCTCATTAAAACACCTCTAGTGTTATGCATTCCATTTTATTAAGTATGCAGAATAGGCCAAAAAGCCTACAGTCAGAAGAGGTGGCAGTGTTAAAGAAAGACAGAAGAAAAGTAAGCAAAACAAAAAGCTTCAAAGGAAGCTCTAAAAATAAAAATACCTCGCATCTATCCCCAAACTGAATTGGTTGCAACATGTAAAATCATATTAACTTATCATGGGCTACACAGCCAACTGTACTTATGTTTTAAAGAGAAAGGTCTGGCAATAGATGGTAGTTTTCTTTGAGATTAAGGTTCTATTAGAGTAAGTATATAAACGCAGGTATATTTGCAGCTTTGTGGAGTAAGTAGGCAGAGGGCCGTCATTAACGCCATGGTTCCGATTCTGATTGTTTGAATGACAACCTTATCCCCCAACGCTGTTATTTCCACCTCGTGTACTGGAAGACAAAACCTGTTGTCCTCAGCAGATTGCTGCTGGAAACTACTGACAGCACCTGGCCAAACACCGCATTTCCGCAGTCTGTGTATTGATTGTATCACCCAGTACAGCCTTGTAACACCACCCGCCCTGCTCTCGAGTACCACACGAGTAAAACGCCCGTGTTGGAGGCAGCTTCTGCCCTCGCCGTGCCTCACGCGGTGCCGGCGCCCTGCAGGTGGCAGCGGAGCCTCCCCGGCCCCGCGCGAGGCCACGCACCGCGACTGGGGCCGAGGAGCAAACGGGCAGCAAACGGGCGATAAAAGCGCCGAGCAGCGCGGCCGCACCCAGCAGCGCGGCGCGGAGGCGCGGGAGCCCCTTGGGGGCGAGCACCCGGCCGCGGCGGCGGCAGCACCGCTCTGAGGCGTGACAGGAGCGCGGCCACACGGCGCCGGGGCGCTGAGGGGAGCCCACCCAACGGTCGCGGCAACGGCCCCGGCCCCGCCCGCCCCTCACCAGGCTGCCCAGGTCCTGCCGGGAGAGGTGCGGCTGCCCCAGCGTCACCCCCGCCTCGTCCCCCGCCATCTTGGCCGCCAGAGGAAGCCGGGGCTGCCCGCGCCGCCGCCTGCCCCCCGGCCCCGGCCCCGGCCCCGCCCCGCGCCGCCCTCAGCCCGGCCGCACGGCGCTGCCCGGCGCAGCCAGGCACAGCCCGGCTCGGAGCCGCCCCGCCGGGGGTTGCGGCGCGGCGGGGCGGGCGGCGGTGGCGGCGCGGGGAGGGAGCGGCTCAGGCGCGGCGCGGGGCAGCCCCGCGGAAGGCCCCCGCCGCCCTGCCGCCGGGTGATGCAACCCGGCCCCGCGTGCGGCAGCGCCGCCGGGGCGCGGAGGGCCTCGCGCATGCGCGGGGCGGGAGGGCCGCCGGGTAACGGTCGCGGGCTGAGGGGGAAGGGGGGGGGGGGGGGGGGGGGAGGCGGGGCGGTGCTGAGCTGGTCTGAGGTAACGGCCGCCCTAACGGCCGCTCTAACGGCCGCCGCGGGGATCGGGCGTCGCCGTGGGATGCGGGGGGGGGGTGAAGGCGTCAGCGGCGGTCACCGCGCGTCCAGCGGCCCGGAGATGGAGGTGTGTGGGGGGCGGCGGGGGGGCGGGGGCGGGCCGCCTGCCCGTGTGCGCGCCCAGCGCCGCGGCTGTAACGGCTGTAACGGCTGTAACGGCTTTAAACATGTCACCGCGAGCGGGCCGGGGATCTCCGCTGGCCGCCAGCCTGGTGCGGTTCCCAGTGACAGCCCGTTCGTGCCCTCGCTGCTGGCTTCTGGAGGCGGGGTGCTGCAGGGGGCAGATACAAGGCCCTGCCCCAAGCCATGAGCTCTTCTTTTATACCCAACAGCCCCCAAACCCCCACCAAATGCACGCTCTGTTCAGCAGCATAACGTGCTCACAACATAAACGTGTTAAGAATGGAATAAAACCCCTGATCAGTGCTGACAGCCATTTTAGAGACTTAACAGAGACTAAATGCCAAATTCACAGCCCTCCCCCGTGGGGAATTGAATTGACTTCTCCATGGGAACTTCTTACAGGCCTAGGGGAGATTGCTGCTCTAATAGGATTTCTTCAGTGATCAGAGCAACTGGTTTCACAATGAGTAACCGCTGTCAGATGCATCCACATTCATCAACAGCAGTTTTGCTTACTGGAAAATGTGGAGGTTCCCAGATTTTGCCCGGCTAGCTGCTCGGGTGAAAACAATAGGTCTCAGGCACACAGCACACATGTGATTGAAACGCGATGATGGAAATGTGTACAAAACTGGTATGCCTGGTTTAACAGCGCGCGTAACCTCCCACTTTCACAAATGCTATTCCCATACTTTCCTGCTACAAGATCCAGGAGTGACTCCTGCTGTATATACCCGTAGCAAATACATTGCCGGCATTCTTGTTTTGAAGAAAAGAGTACAAGAATGTGGCAAGAAACCTGTACGGTGATGATGTTGCCAGTGACAAAATGTATTATGTCTTGCAACCCAGTAATTCTGCACAAAAATAAAACACATTTGCATTTCTAGTCTTTCATCGGGCCGCATGATGTTTTACATAAGAATTGTAAATATCTTGCTTTTGGGAGAAACAATACATGCTTATGACAGATAGACAAATTACAGTGAGAGTGCGATGTGGTATTTGAATGTAGTTGCCTCAACATCAGGCATGAAAATGAGCTGAAAATACTAGACTCTACAGTTACTTAGCTATATACTTATGCAATAATGCAGTGCAGTATAAAATTACAGAAACAGCTTTTGTCACGTTTGCAGAAATCTTTAGAAATGATTTAATCCCTGCCAAGAATTCTGCCAGGAATGGGAAAAAATACACAAATGGTTGCGCCTACTTTAAACAACGAAATGCTACATTTTGCATATTCTGATGTTTTGTTACTAGGGTTCACCGTATTTGTGAATATGTGTAGTATGAAGAAAAATGAAAGTCTAAAGACTGCAAATGTCTAATCAAGACAAGGTAAAAACCTTTCTAGGAACTGTCAAGTATATGATACGTGCATGCTTAAATTTAATGTCTAAATTATAGAAATGGAATAGTGAACTGCATACTAATAAAACTCAAAAACTTAAGTCCAGAATTATATTAATTTCAATAGTCTCAGTTAAGCCAATGGTAACTACTTCATAACCGAGGTTGTACAGATACCTAAATGAGAGGAGTCAACCTAAATCTCTATGTAAATTAGTATTAAGGTAGTATTGACCCTACTCGTTGCTGTCTGGGGCCCAAATTTAAGAGTCTCACATTTTTAGTTAGGAGACTGAAGCATTATTAACAAGTTATGGCTTTTACAGTGGAGGTAAATTGTCTGATGTGGAGGAGGAGTGGTTTTTTTGTTAATACTCTTTAATACTTTAATGCATGTTTTAATAATGATGAGAACAAGTATGTAAAAATGGCTGGCTTGCTTTGTTTGTTTTTTTGCCAGGTTTGAGGTCCATTTCTATGGCAGTGTATAGGAGAGACCCGAAGATCATCTCACACCTCAGCTTGCCACAAACTGCAAACAGCAAAATGACAGTCAGGTAAAACCAAAACAGCCCTGCTAGCTTTTTACACCCTCCCTGAACTATGAAGGCCAAAAGTGAAGAGGGCAGAGGGATGCATGGTGTTTCAGTTGTGTGGTTTCTGCATGTGTGGAACGTATTCTGCAGTGATTCTCCTTGTCAAAGTGTATGTGCTTGATGCAGCAGAGGACATAGCCTGCGAATAAGGGAGAGCCTGTCTTTCGGAGGCAGGAATGGTAGCAGCTTTGGGATAGCGGGTGTGTAAAGGTTGGTTGTCTCACCGTAACTGCACAAGTAACAGGTTTTGAAACTGTGACCGGGGAAATGGGGCAAATTTACTGCGCGAGTAAGCGCGTGAGGAGGAACGGTATGAAGTTGACTGATTAGAGAGAGGTCAGGTCACTGGTTCGAGGGAGTGAATGGGAGCAGGTTGTTTGCAACGTGGAGTAAGTAGGCCATGAGGGAGCAGCAGGAGGTCAGTTGGACAGAGCGGGAATAGCAGCGGGAAGTCTTTTGTGAAGCTGAGCACGGAGTAACTAGTTGGTTGTGTGAAGCTGTGAGAGGTGGGATAGACGCTCAGGTCGGGGTGGCAGTTCTGGAGGAGCTGCGCTGCTGTTCTATTCATCAAGAGCGGGCCGGGGGTGGCGACGAACGGCTGAAAACTGGCACGAAGGGGATGGGAACAGCAGTACGCACGGGGAGGATGGCAGTGGGCGTGCAGCCTGTTACAGCGGGGAAGGCTGGGTTTGCTTTTGGCCTCGTACAGCCAAGCCAGGAGGTGAAGGCCGGGCCACGGCCAAGCCCCGTGCAGCCGGCCCGCGCCCGGCGGGGCTGCCCGTGCGGAGCGCGGCGGCTGTGCTCAGCCCGCAGCTCCCGCAGCCGGCCAGCTGCGAGGGGGAGGAGTTGCGCCAGCTCCGCCGAGGGCTCGCAGCCGCTCGCAGCGCGCTCCGGTGCCGCGTCCCCGCCGGGAGCCGCCCGGCCGTGCCCCGGGGGCCGCCGCCAGGCTGGCGAGCCGCGGGGCCGCCCCGAGGCGCGGAGCCCCCGCAGGTGGCTGCCGGCGGGCGGGGAGCCGAGCAGATGACGCTCCTGGGCACGGCTCTCCCGATCCCCGGCGGCCGGCGCCCGCTGCTCGCCCCCGGTAAGCGAGAGAGCGGCGTCGCGGGGGCCCGGCCCGGGGAGGCGCCGGGTTACGGGGCGGGGGAGCGGCGGCCGCCTCGCGGCGCCCGGGGCGCGGCCCCTCCCGCGGGCTGCCCGCCGGGCCGCAGGTGGCGGCGGAAGTGACGGGCGGCGCGGGGCGCCCGCGGCGGGGAGCATGGCGCCGGGCAGCGCCGGGCAGCGCGGGGGGCGGGCAGCGCGGAGCGCCCCTGGCCGGGCGGAGCGGGGAGCGGCTCCCCCCGAGCGCGGAGCGCGGGGAGGAGGGAGCTCGGGGTCCCCCCTTCCTCCTCCTCCTCCTCCGCCGCCGCCTCCTCCCGGCTTCGCCTCAGCCCTCGCCCCTCTCCCCAGCCCCCCGGCGCGGCCCGCCGCTACCGCCGCCTCCGGCTGTATGCTAGGCGGAGGGCACCCTCTCCTCTCCGCCGGTTCCGCGGGAGGAGCCGCGTCTTCAGCGCCGCTGCCGCCCAGAGGTAGGCGAAGCCGCCAGCCGCGCCGCTGCCGGCAGCTCCGCCGAGGGCGGCCCGGGCCCCCTCGTCTCACCCGGCCTCCGGGGCCCTCCTCCTCCGCTCCGCCCGCGGAGCCCGGCCGAGGCGGCGAGCTCCGTGCCTGCGGCCGCGGGGAGGGGGCGGCGGCACGGCTGGGCCGCGGCGGGCTGCCGGGAGAGCGGGGGCCCCCAGCGCGGCGCCGCGGGCCCCGCCGGCCCTCCTGCCCCGTTGGTCGGGGCCGCTCAGCCGTGTGGGACGCGTCGGTAGGAGAGCTGAAGTAGGTCAGCCAAGCGCCTGCCGCAGACAAGGACTGCTTTGCGATCGGCGGCGTTAGAAAAAATAGTGGTTACTGGTAGCGGGAGTAGCCTGCCACTCAGGATTGGTACTGGGGCTTCGACCTGTTTTAAACGTCACTTAAAAACTTGAAGTCTTTTTCATTCCTTTAAATGAAGAATAGGGGAACCATAAAGCTGTTACCCGATAAAAAGGCAGAGCTGCTGAGGTGTGGTGTCCTGTTGACTTGTTTGTTGTGTCATATACTTGTTCCTAGGACATAACCCAGCCCTTTCACCACCATCACCCCAGTTCACACTTGGATCCCCTTGGCATACCACCATGCGTCAACATCCTTTCTGTGTTTTTTCCTTCCAACACCTAGCCAACGTGTTTAATTTCTACCACATGTCCTATAAGCTTTCCTACCGTCACTCATCTCCTTTCACTTTCCTTAATTATATCCTGTAGCTGGTTTGGATCTACACGTGCTGATCTGCCTTTCAGCAGGCGAAGCAGAACAAATAAGTTGAGCTCATGCTAGAGGTAGTACTGGGTCTTTTTGTTTGAGTAGCTGCCAATTTGGTGCTGATTTGTAGAAGTTTGAGACTTCTGTCCTGACAAATTAAGTTGGCACTTGACAGTGGGGTCAAAAGTTGTGCATCTTGGACAAAGAGCACAATCTCATC